AGGTCCCTGAAAGGGAGAGATCTCTCGTTTCCCAACTTTTCTGGATGATTCCAAGAGTTTTTGGCCAAGGAAATGCCACTGGTGCCCCTCTCCTTGGCTCCAGCTGTCCCTCACTCCTGAGGTTGTGGTCACTCCAGGCTTTGCCTTGCTCCTTCCCCTTTGTTCTGCTGCCTTTCCAGCAGCAGGAAGGATCCATGGGTTTGAAGGAAGGGAAAGGAAAGGAGAAAAGGCAGCCAGCAAATGCAGAGGTCCTTTGGAGATCCTTCAATCCCTCCTGGTCAGCCCAGGTAGATCAGAGGGGGCTCAAGAGAAGCAGGAGCTTGGGGCCAGAAAGGGATGGCTTGGAGAACATAAAGGCCATTGGATCGAAAGGAAAGGAAAGGAAAGGATGGCATTTTTATAAAGCCCTGGACAATCCAGTTCAGGTCCCCCTGAGCTGAGGAGCTCCACGGTGAGGGTGCAGCACCCAGTCCTGGGTGCGGGCTGTGCAGGGGCTGCTCCAGTTTGCTCTGTCCCTGTTCTCCCTGGTGTTCCCGTGCTGGAAGCAGCCCTGTAGCTCCCCTGGCATAGCAAAAGCCCTCCTAGGTGAGTGTCTGCAGCAGCTGGGCCGGAGCAGATCCATAACCTGTCTCTCTTGTGGTGTCTCACCCACTCCTGCTCCCAGAATGAGGATCAAGGTCTTCGTAGACGTAACGAGCGAGAGTGGACAGTAAGTTCTGGATGGGTTTGGTTCTCCCCTTCCCTCTGTCTCCTTGTGGGGATCTGTTTGGCACCTCCAGCCTCTCTGGGATGGGAATTCCAGCCCTGAGCAAGGGCTGGTGGAAACCAGCCCCTCTCCCTCATGTCTTCACCTCCCGTTCCCAACAGATTCTTGGGCTGCTCCTGCTGCTCCAAACAAGGCAAGAGCTCCCTAATCCATCTTGGGAGGTCTCGCCTCGTCCTCCCAGGGTGGGGAATTTTATTGTCAGCTAAAGGACAGTAATCCTCCAAATCCAAATTTGGAAATCCTCCCAGTCTCTCTGAAGTAAAAATAAAGCCAGTCATATGGTGCTTTGAAGGTGTAATCTCCCTGCTAAGACACACCACAGATCAGGGCAATTTAATTTTTTTTGATGCTTTTTTAATTATTTCCTCCCCCCTTCACCTCCCCACACTCCAGCTCTCCATTTTGCTTGGGAATTTCTTGTCCCTGTTGCAGCAGGAATTGCTGGAAACCATCAGACTTGGAATCAAGAACACAACAAATCAGTGATCAGGGTTCAGATTCCCATTTCCAAATTGCAGGAGAAATTGCAAAATTGCAAAATTTTCAAATTGCAGCAGAAATTGCAAAGAGGTGGCTCCTTATTAGTTTCCCATTTTTAAATGAGGAGATCAGCCCTGCCTTGACTGCAGAAGGGTGGAGAGGAGGATTTGGGAGAGAAACAGCCAGGAGGGAAATGTTTGGGATGATTGATGGTGTGAGGTGCTGTAGGAACACGGACCAGGTAGGTACCAGAGGCAGCAGGGGAAGAGAAAAAGCATGCTGTGAGAAGGAATGCAACGTTCTGAGCAAGTTTTCTGCATAATTAATACTTGCATGTGTCTGAATGCATCCCTCACCACAGGTCCTTGCTCTGCATTTTGGGAATTTCAGTTCAATAATTTTATTTACTGAACCCATGGGCGAGTCCCTCTGTCCCACTTGTCCTCAGTTCTGTCCTCTCAGGAGCCCAAGCTCAGGTTCCTGACACATCAATGCTCATTCTTTAATCAGAACAGGGATTATCCAAGAACTCCCTCACAGATAAAGCACCAAACAGAGCAGGAACCTGCCTAGATATCCCTAAAATCATGGCCATACTTGGAAGTGGAAAAAAATCACCAAATACCCCAAGCAGGGAGTTCAGATCCAGGAGAGGAGAGAATGTGAGGCTCCCAACACCAGGAGGAAATAATTATTTTTTTGTTTCCCAGTGTATTTTCTGCCCTGGCTGGTCCACAGTGTGACAGCAGTTTTGTGATGCTGTCACTCAACAGCGCTGCTCCTTCCTGGCCATCGGTCTGTGCTGCAGCCCAAAATTCCAAATCCACAGATGAGGGGGGTCAGGGTAGTGGCAGCCCAAAAATTTCAGGAGTTTTGAGCAACAGGGGCTCTTTTCCCAGCCAGGAAAACACAGGTGAACACATTCCATAAGTGCATGAGCTTGGCCAAGCAGAGAAAACCATTATCCATCCAACTCTCACCTGCAAAATCTTCAGATTTCCCAAAAACCGTAGCAGAGAAACCCTCAGGTCACTGAGAAGGAGTTTTTCACTTTCAGACCAGTAGGAACTCATTATTCCAAGATGATTAAAAGTACAGGACATGGTCAGCTGCCTCACACCTCCTGCCACCCAAAGAGATGTTCTGCAAATAGAAGGAAAGATGGAATTGGGTGTGGAGGATGGAGAAGGGTTGAGTTAAAGTCATGGCAGAAATGAAAGCTCCCTAATTCAATCAAATAAAGCCTGTTTGAAGGTAATCTGCCAGGCTGTCTGAAATGGATAGATTGCTGACATCCCCTTTAATCAAGCCCTTGGAAATAAAACTGAGGGGAGGATGTAACCCAGATAACGAAGAATTGCATGGAGTCATGCTGGAGACAAAGGCAAGTGGGAGAAGTCAGGTGGGGGAAGGTGGTAGAATCGTGTGCCAGTTCAATTTAATTAGTTCATTATCCCTAATTTGATTTCAGACTTCGTTAAAGATAAATTAGATTGGGGAAAAGTCACAGTGGGACTGGGGAAGGAAGTCAAAGGGTGCCGGCTGCGAGATGTGTTGGAAAACACCAGCCTGGTGTTGTTCTCCTCCCTTTTGCCACTCCACAAATGAGCTCAGGGAATGAAGCAACTCCCAGCTAGCTCAGGTGCTGAGGAAAGGCAAAAGGAGACAGGGAGTTCTCTCCCTCTGGCCCTGACATTCTCCAGCTGCCCTGCCCTGACCCCATGTGAGTGAGGAGCGAGCACAAAAGAGGGGCCAGCAAGGAAAGGAGGATTTGTTTGCACTCACCTGTGCAAACAGGAGTGCTGACAGAACTGCTCCGGGTGGCTTTGGCAGTGCCTCATGGGCCCTGTCTCACAGCCACATTAACTGGGAGATAAGCAGGAGGATAAATGCTTTGCTGACCCTGTGTATTGTCACAGCCAGCCTGTAAAATTGTCTCACAGCCCCTTTTGCTGCCACCTGATCACATCCAGCTCAGCTTCCACTTCTGTTAACCGAGGATCTCTCCTAGGAGACCTTTCTGTCCAGCAAATCCTCTGCTTTTCTCAGAAAGCACAGAAATTTCCCCTCCCACTTAATTGATAACAAATTAAAGAAACCCCCTTCCTTGCTTTGTCTTACTAAATTTCTGTAATTAAGACAACTTCCCTTTCAGGCTAGCTTAACCCAGAAGATTAAAGCAGGAGGAGAGCATGGCTAAATACAGATCTTTTTCCCCCTTCCATGTCTGGAAAAGGATTCTGTTGAGTGTGACAATTCTTAAGAGTAGGTTGTACAGAGAGAGGGATGTTCACATCCCATGTTCCCAATTTATGAGCCCCTTTTTGCCTCTTTTATCAGCTGGTCAAAAGAACAGCAAACATTTATTTAAGGTTGAGTTAGTGAAACTTTTTCATAGCTCCTGGCTAAGGCTCCACTGGTTAAAGAGCTCTAATGCTTCACTTATCCACATTTTCTCTTGGCAATTAAAAGGCTAAAATGGACAAAAATTGTGGGAAAGGCATGCCCAAATGTAGGATCCCAGCACAGCAACTCCACTACTGACTTTTAAAAGCTCAATCTGTAGGATAAACAGTTTTGCCAGTGGAAGGGAGGTGAAAATGAGGTTGACTTCATCACTGCTGCTGTTTTCCTGGAGCCCAGACAAACTTTCCCTCACTGGACTCAGCCAGACTATTCCCAGAATTGCCTTTGTGCCTCTCCCAGCAGTCTGAGCCATCAATAAATTATTGCCAACACCTTGTTTTCTATAGGATTTTAGATTTTTAAAGCATCCTGGTGAAATATTTATCCAGGAGCTGGAGTGGATTGTTCTGTTCCTTCAGGCGATTTCTCCTGAGGGCCAAACCCTTGTCCTTTCCACTAAATGGGTTGTTCCTGGGATTTTGAAAGGGAACAAGGAAGGAGACTCAAGGGCAAGCTGCTTGTTGCAAGCATCAAAACATTTTCCAGCGCTGTTTGCTCCCTCTTGGAGAAGAAATTTTCTCCTGGTGAGCGCCCCTGAGAGCAGGTCGGTTTTAAAAACAAATGTCCATCCTGCTTGGGTCATCCTGCAGGGTTTCCAAAGATCTGGGAGCAGGGAGGAATCCTTCCCATCTGCTGCCACCCTCTGGGGAGCCGCAGCCCTGGGATGTGGGAGGGATGCTCCCTTAACCCCAGCAGGGCAAAGCATGCAGAGAAGGTAAAGCCGACAGAGCACCCTCGGGTTTGGAAGAGGTTTTGTGTTCTCTGCGGTTGGTTTGAGTCACAGAACTCACCGCGAGGGGAGATATTCACACAGGTAAAGCCCAGCACTCCTGTCTCCCACAACAACAGGCACAGTGAGCTTGTCCTGCATCCCCTGGCAGGACAGATGTGCCCTTTAAATGGAAGAGCCCAGGCCTGGCTCGGATTAATGATGCCTTCAAGCACTGCTTTTCAAAAACTCAGGTTAGAAATTGTAGGCATAAACTGCCCTTACTTTGGCTGGCTGCTTGTTTAGTGCAGAGTATTTACAGACAAGGGACAAGCCATGCCCAGCCCATACATATTCATCAGCGATCTGGGTGTTTCAGGCAGCGAGACAGAAACTTTGCAGCGTGAGGATTTATCACCTGGGTTTCCATTTTCCTCGAGCAGCGAGCTCTGCAAACTGGTTAATATTCCATCCTGCTTGCTCTCTGTGTGTCTCAGCAAGGAGCTAAAGGGCTGTGTGTGTGTTCTCTGGCCGTGGATCCCGGAGTTTTCACCCGCTGACTTTTGTCTCTACTTGCAGAACTTTGGAAAGTGTCACTCAGAGATATCGAATGCGAGTGATTACCTGACCCGCTGTTACTCACATGAAGATCGATATCTGGAGAAGATCCCTCATGTCTATGCCCCCTTGTCAGACCTCCCACAAGATCTTTATCCTCACCATTCCGACATCTCCTTCTGCTGCCCACCTCCCGGCTCCCGGGCTCCTTACATCTGTCCTAAGGAACAGTATGTTTAAAGTGTCAACACTGCAAAAACAAAAAAATAATAATGAAGAAACTCATGGTTTTCACCTCTCCTGTCGCTCAACAACCAAGGCCTTCCAGCCCTCCCCTCCCTTTGCCATCGCTCATGTTATTGATTGGGTTTTAAATCCGGGTGCAATTGCCATGATTAGTTCCAAGTGTCTGCCTGGCTTGCTAACGCTCAAGGGAACACTCTGCCTTCTCCCATATCCTCTCCAGCACCTGCATCTTTCTGTTCTCCTCCTGGCTCTGTGTGTGCATGTGTCTGTGGGTGACAGCTGCCCTGTGGTGGATGGGATGTGCCCAGCCCAGTGTCCGTAGGTTTTTCCCCTGTGTTGATTCCTGCACCCCTCACACCAGAATAGCCGGGTGTGCATCATCCCCAGCCCTCGCTGCAGCTTCTCTGAGGTTTTACAGCACAGCCAGTGCTCAAAGCTGAGCCTGTGGCTTTTTATTTCTTTTTTTTTTTTAATTTTTTTTTTCCCTGCTCCTTTTCCCCCTTGGAAGTGGGGATAGCAAATCCCCGTTTGTGAAGAGCTGAAGAGCCAAGATTGCTGAACCAAATCATAAGATGCTTATAATGAAAGATGCTCAAAACCAACCCAAAAATAGAGATCAGGACACGGTTTAGGCGGTTTGTTTCTGTCCTTTTCCCTTCCTGCTCCCACTCCCAATCTCCTGGATTGACTCTTTTAAAGGAGACATATTTTGGAGTCAACACATTTGGAGAAAGCATCCTTTAAATAACAGGTCTGATAACCTGAAACCCAAAGGAGAAAATAATTATAAAGGAAAACATTCTCTCTAATTTTCCTTCCAAAGCCTAACGTGGCCCCCCACGAGCTTTTCCCCCTTCTCTTCCTCGCATCTGTTGATTGGAATTTTAAAATTAACTCAGGCAGAATATGAAGAACAAATCAGGATTTCAGGTAATCTCCTTGCTCTTAATGAAGGATAAAAGCCAATAGAGGAATTTGGCCTTTTAACTTTTATAAAAGCATCTTAGCTTTGGGACTACACCTCTTTTTGATATTGGAATGTGTGTGGGTGTGTAAATCCAAACGTGTACATTCCTGTGACCACAAAGTGTTTTAGAGAAGGGAATTTATCGCCACATCACATTTGTGTTCACTTGTATTAGAGGAAAAAAAATATATAAATATCGATACACACTTCAATGTACATAAAAGCAAAGAAGAGGAAGAGGAGGACAAGGAATGAACATCCTGCCTCAGAGCTTGGTTTCAGGGATAACTCCCATCTGTTTCACCCGTGGCATGGAAGAGGTGAGGCTGGGATGGTTCTGAACCAGGGGACAAAACTTTGTGGCCAGAGGGCATTTCCTTGGCTTTGGCTCGGGGAATTACCTTTGCTTTGCAAACCTGGCGTTCTGCAGGCACTAAAAACCCTCTGGAAAACGTGAGGATGATGGAGCTGAGTCCATGGGAAGGAGAGGTGGCACTACACCCTTGCCCTGCTGCCCAGGCACCCCAAACCTGTCAGTGCTGCTGGGACAGGTGAGCAATGGAACTCCCAGCAGGTGACAGCTCCTGCCAGGGGACCTGTGACCACACAGGTGTCCCTGCACTGATTCACCCGTTTGTCTTTGTCCAGCTCTGCCTGTTCCCTGCCCTTGCTGTGTCCCTGTCACCTCCAGCCTCGTCCTGCCTGTCCCTGCTGCACATCTGGCTCCCTCTGCCTCCCTGCAGGCTGACACACACATCTGGATGGGGGAGAGGGGGTTCACACCCCGGGCAGTCAGGCAGCACAGCCATGGGGGGGATCACACCACGGGCATGGATCCCCAGAATGGCAAAAATCACCCCCAGAATGGCAAAAATCACCCCCAGCCCTTCCCCAGTGCCCGAGCAGGACAAGGTGTGTGGGGGAATTGCTGCACCTGCAGAGGTGTTTCCTGCTGGGAGGTGGCCTCACACTCAGTGACAGGTGGGTGCATCAGCTGAGCCACCTGGGGGTGCCTGGCTGGCTCAGCAGTGGGGGAAGGGGAATTTTGGATGCGTTTTTTGGCCAAGCTGGGATGGGCAGCAGCAGCTCTGCCACGTGCTGGTGCTTGGAGCAGCCTCATTCCCAAAGGATCAGGGGAGGATCAGCAGGACACAGATTTAGAGGACTCCACACAACTCTTCAACCCCATCCTGCCAGTCCTGACTGATGCAAACCTTTCTGGGATCATTTGGGGTCACATTTCCTCCGCCAATCTCCAGAGGATCCAACCTGTTGTTCCCTCACACCAAAGGACTCCAGGTCTCTATCAGAAAAATGCGTTTTTCTCTCTGGTTTTCTCCCCAAAACACCTTGGGTTACCATGGAGCTGGAAACTGGGTGTGCTCTGAACTGAAGGCACAGCCACCACATTCACCCCACGCTGCATCTGCCAAACCTGCCTTTGCTCCCTCAATTTGGAAAAGTGAGGAGGTGCTGGAAACCCCACAGGTCTCCGATGTCCTGGAATCAACCCAGCACCACTGACCATGAGGAAGAAGCAAGCAAAAAACCCATTCCAAGCTTCCCTACCTGCATGCCTGGAACAGCAGAGCTCTGCCTGCACCATGGTTTGATTTGGAGCCTTCACCTGATGCGGTTTCAGACAGATCCAGGAATTTAAATGAGAAGTGGAATATGTTCAGGTCTTCAGATACAAGAGGAAAGAAGCCAGACAAAATGATTGCCTGCCAGAGGAGGCTGGGAACACGTTGCAGGTGGTTTTCTCTGCTGCCCATGTCTGGGACAAAGATGCTTTGATGAGCGAGGGGAAGGCAGGGGATACAAACCGCAGCATTACAGAAAAACTCTGCTTGCCTTGTGCGGCTTTGGATCTCAGCTGCCCACAGAAGTCTGCCACAAAGGGTTTTACTGGGCTTGCAGCAAAGCAAAAAGATTTCAATCCTCCCTGAAAAGGTAAAAGGCAGGAGAAGCCTCAGTTCAAAGCAGTGGTTTGAGTTGTGCCAGCACAGGTGTTTAGTCTAGGAATGTCTTGGTTCTCTCTGCCTCTCCTGAGGAGCTGCTTTGATCCCAAAACATGGCAAGAGGGGCTCGCCACACGCCACCAAATTCCTCTGTGCCCTGGGAAAAGGGGGGAAGCCCTGAAGGACAGCCCTGAAGTAAGAAATAGTGAGTCCACTGCTTTGGTTTTACAAATGTGTGCTTGGAAACGGTTCTGATTCAGGGCTCTTTCCCTATTGTCACCCAGTGTTTGCCCAATGGCTTTTCCCAAATTCCCCTGGGCTAAATCCTCACTTTGCTCCAGGATAAGGCTGCCCAAGCCTGGGGGGTGCTGGATCAGGGCCAGGGGAGGTGTTCTCCTGCAGACGCGGTGCCAACTGACTTTACACGATCCCTGCCCTGGGGACTGAGCCATCCAACGGCGCTGTTGGATCACTGAGCAAGTGCAGCTGGAAACTGGTGGAGTGGGATCCAGTGGGCTGGGAGGAGCTGGTGTTGTAGGATAGGGGATCATGTAGGTTGGAAAGACCCCTGAGGTGGAGCTGTTCCTCCTGTCACCAGGGTGAAATGTCACGGGTTCTGTTCCATGTGTTGGTGGCGCTGAGCTCTTGCAGATGGAAAAGACTGATCACAGAACTTCAATAAAAGTGAGCTGAAGAGTTACAGCAACTTCTGTCCTGCCCGTGGGGGCTGTGTGGGGTGTTTGGTGTCTGCCTTGCTCCCAGGGCTGCCTTCTTGCTGAGTTCTCCTCCACATCCCTCACCCCTTGCACTGCACCCCCCAAAATGCACCCACAGGCTCTCCTGGGAGTTCCTGTGCATTCCAGAGGCTCCTCAGGATGGAATAACCCACTTTTCCTGCTGCATCCCCCCCTGCCTGCAGCACAGGGCAGCCAGCACCCGAAGGTAAGCAGAGGAGCAGGGTTCAGTGGATGCTGCTCCTCCCTGCCCTGGATGCTCAGGAGATGCCAGCCCCACTTCACTTTGCTTGGGAATCCTCCTCCAGCCTCTCCCTGCACGTGGGTGGGACAGAGCCAGTCACAAACAGCCAGTCCTGGGGCCAGCAGCTATTTAGGGAAAGAAAAGGGGGGTTCCTTCTCCTCCTCCTCCTCCCCAGCTCACTTCTGGTGCAGCACTCAGTGCTGGTTCCAAAGTCACTGCACCAGGGTATGAATCCATCTGAACACTCAGAACTTCCGCCAGAGTTCCCTATCAGACACAAATTGATCAATAAACCATTTATTGATGGCATTTTTTAGCACTGACTCTGAGAATGAAAAAGCCCCAGGATATCTTACCAGCAAAGCTGCACAGAAGGATGGAGCCGCTGGGTAAAGGCCTTTTGGGACAATTCAGCCACAGATTTGGGGTTGAATTGATGGATGGGGCACAGAGGGAGGGTGGAGGGTCTGAATGCACCAGCAGCAGCAGCAGCCAAAGCTGGTCATGGCAGGGAAGGGTTTATTGGGTTGTGGGAGAGGAGCTGACACAATTCCGCAGAGAACTCCAGAGTTCTCAGGAATATCAGAAAATTCTCCTCAGGGCCAGGATATCACCCAGCATGGTGGGAGCAGAGTACTGGCAATGCTCTCCTCAGCTCACAGACAGGTTTATCCTGCATTTCTGGATCCTGGCATCTCCCCCCAGGGCTGTGTTCACTTCCCAGGAAGGGGAGAAGAATCTGGATTCACCTCCTGCATTGTTTTTAAAACAGTTGCCCACAAACTGCCACCAATGCCCATCTGAACGTGGCCCATGGGAGCTGAAAATTCACACCAACACCCAGTGTGGCATCAGGAACACCTTGCACAGGTGGAAGCTGCCCACTCCAATGGGAACACACATCAATTCCAGCTCATTTTTTATTTCCTTGTGGCTGGCAGGGTCAGCACTGAGTTTTGTGGTCCCTTTCCCCAGTGCTGAATGTCTGATCAGTGCCACAGCCACAAGAGAAAACTTCCTGCTGGGCCATTTTATGGCTGTGGAGAAATTTATGCATCTATTCATATGTATAAAACTAAAATACAGCTCTTGGACAGCACTAAATATATCAAACCTATCAAAACACTTACACAGGATAAGTAAATTGATACTTATGTGGAGTAAGGTGAAAAGCTGTTGTTTTACCATCTAATTACCTTTATAAAGATATTTTCTCTTAGAACTAAAAAAAAAAAAGGCCCCATGGAGGGTGGAGGATGTTCAAATTCGAGGAGGAGCTGCAAATTCAAGGCCAGCACAGGAAAAGGGCTGCTCTGAAGATTTCACATCCCTGCTGCAAACAGGGCAGGCTGAGCTCTTCTTTTTTATTTTTTTCTAATTTTTTTTTTTTCTCTCTCTACTGTCATGCTCTATTTTGTTCCCCTTTATGGCAGATGGGAGGTGAGGCTTTAAAGGCTGCCAAGAATGCATCCAGCCCTGCTCCTCTGGCGGAACAGCACCATAGAGGGAAGGAACTTTTCCTCCGAGCTTCCTCCCACCCCCAGCCTCCCCTCCTCCTCCTCCTCGTCATCCAGGCTCCAGCGCCATCATTTTCATATCACTGCTAATTACATTAATTATTCTCCTCAGCATAAAGCTCATTACGCTGGAATTCACGGTTCATTAAGTCAGAGGCAGGGCTTTTCCTCGGTGCTGTGGGGTCAGGATTATTCCTGTCCTGGCTGGGGGCAGCTCCTCATCCTTGTGTCCCTTTAGCGCCTGCTGAAGTGTGACCAGAGCCGTGTGTGCCACCTCAGGGCTGTCACAGCAGGCTGGGGGTGGCTCTGAGTCCCGGCAGGAGTGGAAAGGTCAGCAGTGATGCTGTGAAATGAGGTTTGTTCCAGCCCAGGTGTGAGGAGCAGAGCAAGGAGTGCTCGAGGCAGGGTGCATCAGGATGTGCTTGGTGCCGTGGGGAAAGGTTTGTTCACCAGGAGATCCAGCTCCACACCTGCTGCAGAGCTGCCCTGAGCCTCTGGGAGCTGCTCCCAGCACAGGACACACAGGATTTTCCACCTGAGCTAAGGCAAAGTGCTCAGGGGGAGATTTGAGGGTGCCAGGGGCTGGAAAGGCCATCCTGGCCGTGCCTTTGGGGTGACAGCAGTGCTGTGTGCCAGCTCCCCATGTCCCTTTGCCAAGCTGAGAGGGTTTATCCAGCTGAAGGGTGTATCCATCTGCACTCCCTGAGAGCTGGAGGTGAGGAGTACTTCCATTGTCCTGATGGTGTGGAAGTGCTGCACATCACTTGAATGTGGTGATGGTGTGGAAGGGCTCCAAGGGCTCCACATCACTTGGTGGTGATGGTCTGGAAGTGCTCTAAGGGCTCCACATCACTTGGATTTGGTGGTGGTGTGGAAATGCTCCACATCACTTGGTGGTGATGGTGTGGAAATGCTCCACATCACTTGGTGGTGGTGGTGTGGAAATGCTCCACATCACTTGGATTTGGTGGTGGTGTGGAAGGGCTCCAAGGGCTCCACATCACTTGGTAGTGGTGATGGTCTGGAAGTGCTCCACACCACTTGGATGTGGTGGTGGTGTCACCTCCTGCCCTCCCAGGAATTACCCAGCACTTGCCCCTCTCCTAAAGAGCAGCCAGCAGTAACGTTTCACTGATTTTTGAGCATAAAACCCGAGCAGGGAAATAGGGAATGGGGAAAAAGGAGAAGCTGCAGGTGCCCTGCTGAGGCTCCCTGAGCCCAGGAGCTGGAGGGATGGGCAGGATCACCTCCAAAGGGACCTGACCCCAGGGAATCCTGTTCCTGAGTGCAGTCCCTCCCTCTCACGCTGCACAGGTTCCTATCGCGCTCCCTAATTACTGTAATTAAGCAGTCACGCTGAGTGATGTCAGACACAGGGTTCAGAGTGCTTACAGCCCTGCAGAAGATGAAACCACCCCCAGCTGCAGGGCCTGAGCTGCTCCCCGTGGTGGTGATGATGGGTTGGAGCAGCGGGCAGGGCCCTGTGGCACAGGCTGTGCCATTTGTCACGGCTCTGGGGTCACAGCATCCTGTCACTGCCTGTGACCCCCACGTCCCTGCAGCTCCCAGAGGTGCAGAACTGTGTGGGAAGCCCTGGAAGGGTAAATTAATGGTAATGGTAATATATATGCCAATCTCCCTGTGGCTGGCACGGAGATGATGCCTGCGTGTCTGTTTTGTCATCTGCCAAGCAGGAGGATATAAATATGCAGCTGGATTTGTGCAAAGTGCTGTGGAGCAGGGAGGGACCCATTTTCACTTTATTCACTCAGTCCCCACCATTTTCTCTCTCTTCTGGTCCCCTTTAGGAAAGAATTCTGAGATTAGGCAGCAACCAGGGAGTTCAAACTCATTTCCTCATGGTTTCACATCAGCCTGATTAGTGGGAAATGCCCTTTCCTAAGGCACAACAGCAGGGCGCTAAACTGGAGACAACATTTTCCATCCCACATCTGCATTCCCTCCCTGCCCAGCCTTTTCTTTCCTCAGCAGTGTTTGCAGTTCTGTTCTCCCAGTGCAGGAGGCAGGGGCTCAGCTCCCACACAATTGGCACCTAATTCATTTCTCTGAGAATGTGAAAATCAATAGTGTTTATAGAGCCCACAGAGGCCCTCCCATCGGTCACTGTCCTCGTTAGGTCCATCCCCGGCAGCCAAAAGATCCTTTCAGGAGGAGATTCCACCAGCTGAAAGAGGAAAATAATGATCCCCATGTCTTTAATGAAGCCTGAGAAGTCTCCAGGCTTCTCCTCTCACCCAGAGCAAAGAGTTTCTTGGTAATTTCATGGGATGGACTGGCTTTTCTCAGAATTTTGCCTGGATAGTCAAATTCTGGTGTTTGGTTTAGCTCCAATTCAGCTCAAAGTGCCTCCTCACACATGCAAGGACACGCATTTCTCCAGCAGATGTTCAATGGTTTCAGCTCTACTTGTGCTTGCAGATTTTGTGGGCACAACATTGAAAGCCAAGTTCAGGCTGTCCCACAGCACCAGAGCTCCACACCTTTATTATTATTATTAATAATAGTTTTTTTCTTCTATTTCCTGTGCCTCTAATTCTATCTCCAGGAAGTATCCTCCAGCCAGTGTTGGATGTCTGTGTCCTGCCTGTGCTAGGAACAGTTCCAGCCCCGTGCCCAGCTGCTCCATCTGGGGATGTTCCAGGGGTTTGTACAGCTGTTGCCTGCTCCCCTTTTCCCATCTGTTTCTCTCCTCCCTGGCTCATCTGTTCTCCCCACCATTCCCAGCATGGCAGCACCACCTGGAGCTGTTGGAGAAGGGAGTTTAAGCAGAGCAGGGAACCCAGGCTGAGCTCTCCACTTTGCAACTGCTCTTTTTTTTTTTATTTTATTTCTTTTTTTATTCAGTGTTTGCCTTCCAAATCCCACGGAATAGTTACTAATATTCCATCCCTGCTTATTGATGGGAAACCAGCTGGAGTGTGATTGCTTGTTATATCTCAGGGCCTGCTGATAAATGTTGCTGCTGAGCTGGCCATTTCCCAGCTGCCCAGGCCCCAGATCCAGAAAATTTCATTTTTCTTTTTCCTTAAAAAACCTGAATGGATGGACGGCTCATTCCTCTGGATTTACACTCGAATTGGCTCCTGTTCTGGGAGGGTTTTTAGGCACACAGAAAGGGCTCAGCTGCACCTTGATGGCTTTTTCTGAATATTTTCAGCTCTTCCACA